CATTGCTTATATAACTATAATGGGTATATGGTTACTTTTTTAGATTTTCTCCTGTCATATCATTGATGCTCTTGAAAGAGAAGATGAGATAGAGAAGTTACCAAGTGATGAGTAAATTTATTTTTGGAGGAATACGGCCAAAATAAATTGAAAATTGCTCCATGCTATCAAGTGTAGCAAGCACCTTCAATGGGATGTTTGCTCTAAGGAGATACATCAGCTTAACAGGAAATTGAAGATCTCTGAAGGAATCGTTGATCTGATTGACCCCGAAGACCTGAAGAAGAATGTGAAGGTTATTATGTCCCAAAATGATAGGCATATAAATGTTGCACAGAAGAAGAGGAAAAGTAGTTTGGATTCTACTGATAGGGGAGATGACATTGGTTGCTTCGATTATGATGATGTAACCAATATTAGAAAGGAATCATCTCATATTGCGGAGGAGGTTGTGCAAATGGAGAAGGAAATAGATGAAGTAGAAGAGAAAAAATAAGAAGATGTGTAAGAAGAGAAGAAGGTAGAGAAGGAAGAAGGGCAAGAAGTGGATGTTGAGAAAGTGAAGAAAGAGAAAGAGAAGAAAGAAGGGGAAGAAGAGGATGGTGAGAATGTGGAGAAACAAGAAGAGAAGAGAGAAGAATAGAAAGAAGAAGAGAAGAGAGAGGAAGATAAAGAAGAAGAGAAAGAAGCGGAAGAGAAAGAGGAGGAGAACAAAGAGGAAGAGAAAGAGGAAGAGAAAAAGGAGAATGTTGAAGAGTCATCCTTTGAGAAACTCATTGCTAAAGAAATTAGCTACAAAGGGGACAATGGGACCAAGTACCTGGATTAGGATGCTATCACAGCTAGTCCGAACCCCATTAACTGAAGAAAAGAAGAAGGAAGTTCGTGAAGAGATAATTACAATATCACACCACAATGATGATGAGAGGGAAAAAATCAGGTACTATTGTAAGCCTGATGAATGTAGCTGGGATTTTTTGAAGAACAGGAAAATCAAGAAAAAGGAGGAGGCTCTTCTGAAGTTGTTAAACGAGCGTATTCCTAATGTTGATGATTTTGTCATACGCTTGGTTGATAGTGAAGGAACATTCGTTCACAACTTTAGAATATCCCATCATGTAGCGGCAAAGCTCACACCACATGAGAACCGATGGGTCTCAAATTTTTACAATCAGAAATTTCATCAGTAAGTTTAGTAATTCTCATTAATGTTTGGCTGCATATTACTTGTTATCTTTTATACATTCATGTTAATGTGTGTGTATAAATGTTAATATTTTCCTATATGTTAACTTATGGATATTTATGTTAATGTTTGCTCGAACATGTTAGCTTTTACGGTTACATGTGCACGTTTATCAGCAACTGTTAATGATTCTATCTTACTATTATATTTTAGGTCATGTATGATTGTAAATATGTTGAACAGTAGTATTGATTCTTTGAAGCTTCTTTATCTGCTACGTGGAGGTCGTATCGATGACCATGCAAGTTTAATATGTTAAATATATGCATATCTGGAATTTTTTGTGTTGTGTTGTTATGCAATTTAATTTTCATCTCTTGCATGGTAAATTTATAGATCATGGAAGCTTTGATAGATAGAATAAGCACATGGTTAGAGAGTCAGAATATTACCTCCCTGAGAAAGAATTATGGGGTTGTATTAACTTACTTTTACGTAAGCACAAGTTTCAAACCCCTGACCATCTTTACATCTTGTTTATAATTGGCATAACATTATCTTCTTGGCAATACAACATAGTCATTATGCAAAGACTCCTAATTTTCCAGTCAAAGATTCAAGATTGAGCTTCATGCATATCAGCTTAGGTATATTAGTTTAGGAGTTTATACTTTGTGTGTTTATGCTTTAAGCTCAAGTCATACACAAACACACCTTTCTTGACTTATCGTATCACTTGAGAATATAATGAGTTTTTAGATTATAGACTAAACAATACTATTTTACATCTTTTCTAAAGTCTATTAATTTATTAGAAAAATCTCAAAACTTGTTTGAAATATTTTTGTCAAAATCAAGTATTTAACGAACTCGTATCTTGAACTTTTTCCAAAATAGTAACTTTTTACAATCGGGAAATGATATTTCAAAAAAATTTCTTTTAACATGTTTAAATTTCATGTATATAAACATTTTCCCAAGTTTTACTATTTTTGGAGTAGATTTGTTATTTTTAATTAATTTTAAAAAATTAGTTTTTTAGCAGAATATGTGTTGTGCACATTATTGGTCGACCGACCAATTCGAACCAGTGGGATTTTTTTCAGCGCCTGAATTTTTAGACAAATCAGTCAACTGATCACAAGTGATCAGTTGACTGATCACGTCTTACCAGTCGACTGATTCATTCTCACTAGTCGACCGATTGAGTGTTGATTTTCCAGCTATGCCAATGGCTAGTTTATTAGTCGACTAATGAACTCGACTAGTCGACTGATGATGTCTTTTTGTTGTAACGGCTAGTTTTGGCAGATTTTCTTTGAGAGGTTATAAATACCCCTTAATGCTTATTTTTTGAGCTAAGTTTTTCAAGATTTTCATCAGTTTGTATAAGCTATTTTGGCTGCACGTTTTTAAGAGATTAAGTGTTTGTTTATTTGCAAAAAAGTTTCACAAAGAGAAGATCGTAATTTTTGTTTTGAGGCGTTCAACCTCAACTCATCATGTACAACTCTTTGTTTTCATTAGAGAAGTTTTCTAAACTCATTTATCTAGCTCGTTTTCATTTTGATTCTCATATATACATTTGCTAGATTTAATTGAGTTTAAATTTCGTTATTACTTATTGTTTTTACACACAACCATTTGAGCTTAAGTATTTCACATATTGTATATTTTGGGTTGTGAGAGTGTAACGATTGAGTGAGCTTTCATTTTCATTCTCATTTGTATTAGAGAACAAAATCTTTATTTGAGCTTATCGGTAATTACGTTGTAATACACAAGGATACTTAGAGGAGTGGTTGGTGAAAGACCGGAGTCAATTCTAAGAGGAGTGGATTGGTTGTAAAAGTCTAGGGAAAGGTAATAATTCTAAGCACTTGAGGAATATGACACTGGTAGGCCAACACTTAGAGGAGTGTATTATGGAATTGATAACTTATAGATTGTAAAAGTTTTCGGTGAACTTTGAAAACCGATTATGTAGTGATTTGAGTAGAGATAGTGGAGATTCTCCTCAAGGTGAGGGGCCGAGACGTAGATCGAGGGTTAACCGAACTCTGTGATCATATCCTTGTGTTTGCGTTTGTCATTTGTTCACTATTTCTCTTTTGGTATTGTGATTGTTGTTTATATCACTTATTATTTCATTATATATCCTTGCTTATATTATTGTTTATATTATCATTGCTAGGATAATAGTTAATAAGTTTTAATTTGGCATTAATATCGGATTAAATTAGCAATTACCCTATTCACCCCTCTCCCCCCCCCCCCCACCACCCCC